AGCCATCCAGACAACAACTGCATGAATTTATTAATTTAGCGTTTAAAACTGTTTGGCGTATACCATGACACCTCATTACAACCAAAAAACAATGACATCAAAAACACACAAGCCACAAACCTACGTTAAACCATAAATTATGAAATTCAAACTAGGTCAAGTTGGATGCGAAAACTTCCGCTGCATCTACGAGTAGTCCAAACAAGCGAACTTAAACGTTAATGTAGTTAGATCTACATCAAAGAGAAATTATTTAGTAAATCTGAGAAAAAAAAGCTATCAATCGTCTCCTTCTAATTCGAAGTAATGACAAAGATGGGAAACTTCAGAATGCATCCGCTATAAACTCCTACTCCAAAGTCTACAATTAGGTGATCCGTTTTCATTAATTACTAATTATATTCCGTCCCGCTGATTACATTCCCGCCATTTCGAAATTCGATAATCGCTTCCGCAGTAGACATTTATAGAAACTGGGCGGTCACCCCGAACCCCTTTCGTTGATAGGTGTTAACTAGATAGGACAATCTGTTAATTAATTTGGAAACGACGTATGGGATTAATCAATCCATTAATTATATCGGCTCCAAACTTACACTTACAAATTATACTAATCAATTAAAAATGTTTCCGAACGCTCGTTTTAATCAAAATAGACACCGCAGAACGAAACTTTCTTATGTCGCGCTGCTTTCCGCAAGAAGTTTTAATGGACGGTTAAAACGTGCAAACGCAAATTAATATTTTTAGCATTAAAAAACTCCCCGCTAAAAGCACGGCGTGAAAAAAGCGTCTTTGGTTAATTTAATAGAAACAAACACCGTTTTTCCACGACAAATTATTAGGTTATATTGAGTCATTAGTCATTACGTAATATGTAATATTATTATTATTATTATTACTACATAATATAAATATTATTTTATTCATAATCTCTAATGTAATATGTCGATTACTAACCTTTTAAAAGTTGAGAAACACATCATTAAATCTCATGAGCAGTAATATAATTTTTTCTCTTGGGCGGTAATATGCAGGTTTGCCGACGTTAAGATTAAAAAAATTCTGAGAATTTTTTCTTTCAAATTGTCAAGTTACGCATAATATTGTCAAAAATTAGTATGCAATTGCTTCTGTAGCAGTTTCTTTTACTTGTGGAGGAGTAGACTGCTCTATACACTGCTCTATTTTAACGATTTTAAATCAGATTCACACATTATTTCAATATTTTTTTTGACATTTCTAAAATGACAAAAATCAAACGCAATTTGGATAGTCTACCACGTTTCTTTGTTAGAATTTTATTTTATTCAAAATTTTGACGAAAAATAATGTGATTGTGATAAAATACATAATCACTCGGGATAATGCCATATTCACCACCAAGTCAATGTTTTTGTTCTTTTATAGGTGGAAATTTAAAGCAACAATGAAAATAAAAGAATTGTCCGTTTTCAACTCAAATAAACAATTTAAAAACAAATAATAAACAAAATACTTGTTTTCTTCTTAATTTCAAAATGGAACAAAAATATCTACTTCTAATTCACGGTTTTCAAAGATCTGGATAAAAACTGTTCAGTTTTTATATGCGATAGAAGAGGTTCAACGGTTCACTAAATTGAAAAAGACAAGTAAAGTTAGACAGTAAGTATTTAAGACAAATCCTCTTGCCTGTAGATTCAGGACAGACACTGAAGAATGAGGTAAGACATGAAAAAATCTCGTGAAACTGAAAACTTTCCTGAAAATTACAATGAGCAAAAAAAATGTAACGTAGCGACACAAGATAGGTTATATCTAAAAACTACTATTCTAGATAAATAAGTAATAAGCTTTCAATTTATATTTAAATAAATTTAGAAAAATCTTTGCCAATTACACAGAGTGATTCACAAAGTATAGATAGCAGATACTGAAATTCTGAACTTTACAGCCCCCAAACTTTCCTTTAAATATAATTGAAAATTTTTGCTATTAAAAGTATAAAACAATGCTTATACAGGGTGTGTAAGAACTCGTGCTCCAGAGAAAAAAGAAAAGATACCAAAAACATGGGAACAAATGTTTAAAAAATTCTATCTATATCTAATAATTTCGAATTTGTGGAAACGTGTATTTAACACTTTGACTCCATTTATGTCTGTTGGAAAAATATTGTTTTTTTTTTGCTTCAGGCTATTAGAAGAGAAAAATTTTGATATTGTTTTTTTGACATTTGACATTTTTTTAGGCTTATTTAATGATACTGATCTTGTATACGTTTTTTTAGAATTATTTAGTAGAGGTACAAAAATCTTGCCAATAAAAGCCACAAATAACATTTATAATATAACAGAGTTACAATTTGGAATATACAGCTTCCTTGCTTCCTCTTCTAATAGCTTGTAGCAAAAAACTTAGAAAATCATTTTTTCAACAGAAGTAAATAGAGTCAAAGTGGAAAATTTAAACTCTCATAACTTCGAATTTTTTATAATTTATAGAATTTTTTTAACATTTTCTCTAGGGCGCGAGTTCTGGGGCACCCTGCATTAAAGCAAAAATCATATAAACAAAGACAGACTATCAAGCCGATTAACGATGCATACAGTGGTATGTCCTCGGATTGAGTTTACAATTATCTTTGATTTTACGCCAAAACTGCAAAAGGAAAACATTTTTTGCTTTATACCTGAAACGAGCAAATCTGTAATTAAAACTTTATTATTCTAACTCAGTAGAAAGAAAAATTTATTTTTCTTTTGATTTTCGACTCTGCTTTTTAAATCCTATCACATTGGCGATATTATTATTTTGACAATGATGTCATTTTAGTTTACTCAAGTTAAATAACAAAAATGTTTGTGAAAAACGTAATTTTAATAAATAGCAACTCAAAAAAACAGCTTTAAGATAAAAACCAAAGTCATTTTTAACAAGAACTATCATTATTTAATTCATAAATTAATTAATTGTCAAAGTGTTATATAGTTCTCAAATAAATAAAACCGCCAATGTGATAGGACTTAAAAAGCAGTCGAAAATCAAGAGACAATTAACTTTTCTTTTCACTGAATCAGAATAATAAAGTTTTAAGTACAGATTTGCTCGTTTTAGGTAAAGCAAAAATTGTTTTTCCTTTGCAGTTTGTTTGTTGGAGTCTTGTAAACCCAATCCGGAGACATACTGTATACTCTGTGAATCATCCTGTACAAAAAAAAAGCCACAAACGACAGGACATAATATATTGAAGCTCAAGTTTCTCACAATACAAAAATACTTTTAACAACGTAGAAACTATTTAAAACTTTTCTTATTATGCATAACAGAAAACCAATTTTACATCTCTCGACTGTCTAGAATAACACAGAAGACTTTAACGAACCATTTACTTCAACTGAACAGCGTCCAGATTAAAAATATAATGTATTAGAAAATTAACAACTTCCCGAGACAATAATATCTACAACCGTTATAACGTTTTTCTTAATTAAAACATTATTAAACCAAAGTAAAACAACGAAAGTAAAAAATAAGGTTTCCCCAGTTATCAATAATACCTGCTCTACTGACATTAAAATTATTTTGCGTGTCTATGAAACTGATAAACCGTTAGAGAAAAGTTCTGAATCAATAAACGATAACAGATTATGTAAACAAACATCATTTTTTTATATTTTTATCCCTAAATAAAAAAAAAACATTAAAATCATGAAAGGATTTGATTTTGTCTGATTATTTTCTATTTTAAACCACTTTGCACATTAAAATTGCATTCATCACACATGCTTTGAATTATTAAGCTTAAAAAACTGTCGTTTGTTAAATTTATTGTCATGATATAATAAATTAAAAAAATATGTATTAAACAAAATTAAATTAATCAAAATAACAAGAGCACTGTAGATAGAAAAGAAAATTAGTTTCATTCTTTATTTCGTTATGCCATTTACTTTCTTTTCCATGTCTTAGCCCTATTAAAGTAACCAAAAGTCAACAAAAAATCGTGCCACAGAATTAATTCGAAACAACGTATCAAACAATAAAAAAATTTAAAGCCCATTTTTAATTAAGAAGAAATCAGATAACCAAAGATGCACGCACACACAAAACTGAAATATAGATCAAACACGAATTTTAATTTCAAACGCATGCTTACACGACATCGACAAATAAATGCGATAAATCATCCAAGAAAAGTCGCTAGGTTTAAAACTAACGATCTCGTTATCGGCGACGAGGAATACAACGCGTCATTGATACAAAACAGACGCAAGCACACATCAGAAATTTTACGAAAAGCTGGCGTTTATTTTTAAATTACTTTTATAACATGAAATTCCAACACGTTTCTCGTTCAAAAAACTCCCTGAGGAGTCGTTTAAACTGGACGTGGAGGCACCTCATAAATGTAGTTTTAACGTCTACATACCCACCCCCCAGAAAAAATAGTAAAAAGAGACTAACAAATCGCTGCAAATGTTAAATATTTTTAAATTTCTTTTTCAGCCGCATTTAAGTGTGAACAACCCTTCACTGTTGGATCAACCCTATCGATCAGTTTTTCACCGATAAGCCGCAAGAATGTCTCGTTAACGGTATTTGCTTACATAAGTTTGCAACAAGAAAAAAGTACGAAAACTTTGAAAAAAGCCATTCACGTCATCCAAAATCGACGTAAAAAGCGTTCAACAGAGAAATGAAGCGCCGGCATTGGCCAACTCCAAGAAAATTCCTGCAACGTGAACAAAATTGATGTTCCACTTTCGATATAATCATATCCATAACCTAGCGGAAAGTTCCTCGACCCTCAAACCACCGAGATATTAAATCAAGACGATCAAAATGTTATTCTCCGCAAGGCCTCTAAATTTCAATTATCTCTGTTAACAGTGTCCGGAAGTCGTGTGGGGAATTATTTATTTTGTGTATAAAGCGAGTAAATATTGATGTTTTAGAGTAACATGTATACAACAATCAAATTGCTAAAAAAAAAATACAAAAAACTAATAACTTACTCATTGAGACTGTGTAATCCCAGCTTTCCGAATCATTTTTGTGTACGTTGAGTTTTTCAGGCTGAAACAAAAAAATGTTATGAATGAAAATGTTTACACTACTCAACCCGCGATATTTCTAATCGAAGTACAGGTTAATTTTACTCAACAACTAAATAAAGAACTCGCTTTCGTTTTAATGAAGGCTTTAGTTAATCGAACAACTTCCAGATGCCAATACCACATTTACGCAATAATCAAATATTTGTTCGTAACATGTAATTTGCTGAATCATAAACTCACTTTGCGCATCTACTACCTACATAAAACTGAAAGAATAAGAGTTGTGATATTAATTCAAAACTGCCACAGCATGATGTAAATCCTGTACTGCAACGTTTCATTTCATTGCGGCTTGTTTAATAACAATGACGTCCTGGATAATTAAAGCCCACCAAAACTGTTAAATTCTGCAACAATTGCAACCGCAGAAAAAAAACTCGGAAAAGCCCTCCCAATTTTGTATCCGCCCCGTTCAAATTTATCCATGAATAAAATTTAATTTAATTGCATCGATATTGGCAGCGAATTGTAAATAACAGAGTAGTATTCCAGACAATTAAAACAATTTATTGCAACTAATAAAATTACACTTTAGAGACGATTCAAAGTTATTCGCTATTCAATATGTGCCACAATTACCATTCATAATTAGATCAATGAAACGTTATCGGCATATCTAATATCCAAATATCCATTGATCCGAAACTTGGTGACAATCCAAGCCACCGATGCCAAAATTTTCGCCTCTCCCCTGGCAATTACAATAAAAAAACGCACGAATCCTTTCGGCTGATTCTCGTGCCAAAACCACGCCAAACAAGTCGACTTTTTTTGGCCGTATTGCCAAAAAATATCGTACGCGCGTGAAAAATGCCACTGGCTGTCTTAATTGGCGTGAAATGAATGCGGCCAGTTTTAAAACAGAATTCTATCTTTGGATAAAATATGTATGCCATCATTTCTTCGAGGGTTAATAACATCGACAAGACTAAACATAACGCCGGAAAAAATCCAACATTAATCATCATCAGGATAATTAACAAATACCTTTGTTATCCATGCTGGCATATAAAACGTCGGAACTAACTCAAATTTAACGTAGTTCAAACAAAGTCTGTTTATGTTACGGCTATTTATTCTGTTGTTAAAAACAAATGATCATTACCTGAAACAAAATGAAAATAAAGCGATCTTTCATTTATTTACCAAAACATTTACCGAGACCGTTTAAGCAGGAAAATCCACATGGAATCTCGTGCGGGTCGGGATTGGAATGCGATGGTAAAACATCATTATTCGACTGTATAGCATATTTGGGAAAACATTTTTATACCGAAGTGAATATTCACCGATATGACTCTGCAGAACCGAAAAATTTCACATATTCCACAACCCACATACTTTGAAGACGATATTTCAAATTAAAACTAAGTATAAAAAGCTATTGTAAGCATGTAAGACGACTGTCACGATCCTAACATATCATGAACTCGTAGCTGACAACACGTCCTAAAAAGGAACAAGGATTTCTAGAACATCCATCAAAGTTGATGAACTGATCATCATCGTGAAAGAATTTATATTCATGACATTTTATTTACAACTTGTTGTTTTGTAACGAAATGGAACTTTTAGATTAAATCGATTTTTTGTTTATAAAAATTCTGAAATTTAGGTAAAACATATGCTCGTTGAGAAACATTATAATGTATGGGCCATATTAAAATTACATTCCTGTATCCATACCTAAGTAGCCTCTTTGAAGCTGAAGAACAAACGGAATGCCTTCTTTCATCTCGAGTGTAAATATCAAATCGGTTCCGACCGACTCCACAGCAGCCGCTCAGCAGAAAAAAAACACGTAAAAACCTTCGTCCAAGATATAAAATTTGCAACAAGTTTACTCGGTTCAAATTTTACAGCCGCTTTGAGGTAATTGGTCTTTTTAAACCAGATTGGCCGTGGTAGAAAGAACATGCATTGCATAAATTTGCGGCGGCATTTAATACAAACCACAGAGCAATAATATCCTGCCTTCAAATGTTCATTAGCGTCTGGCATTCTGCCAAGCCCAGAAGAAGAACGATAACGCTCAAAAGAGACGGCAATGTCAATGAAAGAGGAGACGAAGAAGAAATACACGTTGGCGAGGTCGTCGGGAAATGCAATGCCGACGGCATTTCTGCACACCACAGCAAGGTCGACCGAACAGAAAGAAAGAACCTCCAGCAATAACAAATGTTACATTTATATGGCGAAATTCAACCACACCATTGTTAATTTTAGCACTTGTGGTTTATACGCGTTTGAGGAGTGAAATTTCTTCGAATACTTGCATAGCCGGTTTAAAATATTCATCTACCATCTACCACGCAAGTTTTTCACAAATTACTGTATTTTATAATCAAAAAAATATAATTTCGTCCCACGCCTCAGACGAATTTAATGCCGGTCAAAAGCAAAATCGAAATTCGTCAGAACTTCACTCAGATGATACGCCCACTGAATGTTTGAATTTTTCAGGCACACGTGTCCCTGAAACCTATGTCCAACTGAAGGTAATTACGTCGATAAACTAACTCGAAAAACAAATAAACTACGGCAGACATTTACAAGTTAGAAAACGGAAACGGATGTGGTAAAATGTCGGAGTGTTAAAGCACCGTTTTGTTATAAAACGTATTTGACAAATACTATAATCAATACAGTTTCCTTGGCCCTATATCAAATTCCTCAACTGAAGGTATAAAAACTAGGCATTGAGATAGCCTGCAGAAATTTAAAAGTGTAAATATATGTAGTTTACAATTTTGTTTAACAAAAAACGTAAATAGGGTACTTTAGATAATTTTAATCTAGAAACTTTCAACTTTAGAATTAAAGTTTTTAGTTTCGTAATATATTACGCTTGTTATTATTGGCAAACATTAATTCAAACAATCTCAAGTTGTTTTAGCTTTAGAAACTTGATAAAAATTTTCAACATTTTAATCTATTAATGACAAATTTTTGTTTTTTTGTTTTTTGCATTACATAAAAGTAATTGTATCTAGCTTGCCATAAAATTCATCAACCCTGGCAAACATTAAAATATAGCAAAGCTTACAGCTGGAATTTATTATTAAAGCAGCTAATTTGGGTAAACATAACACCTTCTAACTGCACCTTCCGAATTAATATCTTTAATACAGTAAACAACTCTCTGGAAAAGGGTTTGCATAATAATCCCACTGCAATAAATTATAAGAAAAAAAGCCGAAAGCATATAAATATTTCTTCTCGAAATTGCTCCAGTACTTTTGTGAAAATCACATATGCAGTAAAATGCAGAAATGTTTCACAAGAAAAAAAAAATAACATAGAAGATACCTTCCGATTTTGGTTTATGGAAATGTGAAAATCGAAATAAATATATTTCCACAGTTTTAAATGCGCATTATCCTTCGCTATATTTTCAGCAATTCGCAAGCCATTTTTCCGTTACATTACTAAAATATTTCAGTCAGGTGTCTATTTTAAGCTAAATTATGATCGATAAAATTATTAAGTTCGTAGGCCGGCTATTATTACAGCTTGAGCAAAAAAAGAAGTAAAAGTTATTTTCCGGCTCCTACGTAATTAATAATTAACAATACTGCAGTCACAAAATGAAACAATGACTCTAAAACAGTAACAGTTTGACAAAACAGTAACTGTCGTACCGAAATTTAATGACTGCCGAAACAGAGTTAAATTAATGCATCATAAAATGATGTTTTATAAAGGAAAGATTTTCAACATTTATTTGATGTCCGGTTACGGTCGTTTTCTTTGATCATGTTGCAAGGTTATTAGAAGCTTTTATAGCAATTTCAATGTGTTACTGTTTTATTATGTTGAATTACAGTGCGGTCGTACGACGGAATGTCACAAGAGAAACATAATTGGTCGAGAATGATTTATTGACCAATTGTATTAATAAAACAAGCGTGAACCGCAACTTTATTGTTTTCTATATGAATTTAAGATATATAGCATGTTTCGAGAATTTGGAACATACTGTCTATCTTGCATATTTTTAATTTGAAAATAAAACCTCCGTTTTGCATACAATCGCCTGACAATATTTGTACATTATCTAGCAAAACACGCGATGAAACAAGAATACAAAGTTTATTAAAATTGATAAATCTAATAGGTCGCCTGTTCAGTACACGAAACCCTTCAAGGATACAAAGAAACGCCCTCCATAATTCATAATTTAGATCCAAGCTTTACATTCTTACCAGTAAATAGAACAAAATTTAATGAATAAATAAACACAATTATTCTAATTTGGGACTGTTAAAATTATCTGCTTGGTACTGGTTGGGACCTATAACTAAAACGAACAAATGTCAACTATTTTTAACTAGTCCATCCCAGAACGTTTATGTCCTGGTGCTCTACTATAAACAGCACTCTGAACAAGGGACGCCATCGAATTAATTACCTAGTAATACCAATAACAAATGGTAGAGAATTTAAGTCGAACGCACATCCTCCCAGATAAATATTTAAAAGCAATGTACGTGCTAGCAACCCACGCGTAAAATCCAATCCTTAAATGTAAACACCTTCGCTCCAATTGTAAAAATACCAAAAAACAAACAAATCTTAATTAGTGCATGTTAACAGAATGCGCAAATTTCGTTTTAAATAAAAATTTGGAAAAATCCTGACTCCATCTGTAAGTAAAAAATATAATGCCTCGTTAAAGAATTTATAGACAGTAACTTTGCTCATAACTCTTTCTCAAATAATAAAAATGAAATTGTCCTTTTATCTATGTACACAAAGCATCAACTTCTGTAAATATTTATAACTTTGATTAAATTTTCAAAGAGTTTGTAAGTAATTGTTAAATTTCTTGTACGTTAGCATCATTTTATAAAAGCTATGTAGATGTTGTTCAACATCTAGTTAAGAACTTTTAAGGAAAGTTAACAACTTTAATGTCCTTCAAGAATTCAATACAAAACTTCACCCCATACAGCGTTT